TTTATATAAAAAAGATTATATATTATATTTCAAGCACTTGTACGAATATATGGAAAGAATTAACATGAGATTAATATGAGATGATAAGTTTCTTCATGAGTAATCGTTTTAGCAGAAAGTTTATTCTCTTCATTTTGTTACTCTCATGATAATGCATATTAAAGCTTTGAGTTAAGTTCTTCGGTTATTCTACTTTCTTTTTTTTTTTTTTTTTTTCTAAGTTGAGAACATCATGTTTCTTCAATTCAGCTAATTGATTGTTATCATTACAATGAAAAACTTTTACGTACTTAGATGTCAAATGAAGCATGATTCTCTAGAAAAAATGAAAACTTGGTAGGAAATACCAATAAAATTGAAAAACTTGTGTTGTTGTGGTTCTTAAGCTTTGAAGAAAAAGTCTCTTTCTATTTTTTCTTTTATACATATCTTTTTTTTCATACAGAATTTCTTTGCTTTAAAAGTGACTCTGTTTTTCTTGTTGTCGCATTGTTTTCTCTCTGTTATTTCATTGCAGGTCACTAAATAATGAAATTTGCTCTAGTTTGTGGAATTTTTTGTGCTATTCTTTCATCTTTTCTTTAACTGTGACTTTTATATTAAACGCCTGAAAAAGTATCCGTGCATTTGTTTATTTTATAGTTGGAATTTGCTTACATAAAGAAAAGTTACATGTTTTGTATACGTGTGCCGAGAGGTAAACATAATGCGCAGAGAACTTACGTTAAACCTTACGCTCTTTAATATCAATAGATTATTTTTAGAGCTGTAAAAAGTACATTAAATATTGAGCCTAGTAATTTTGATAAAGTAATATATTGTATTGATATTCTCTTCTGCGGCTGATTGTAGAATGTCCATAGGGTTAATCGTTCCAAATGCAATACTCCTAGCCAAGGAAAAGTTAAGGCAGTCACAGAGGATGTGCTTTATAGTGAGAATTTGTCCACAACTGCAGATTGGAGAGGAGGACTTCTTCAAGATCCATTGATGAGTTGCAATTGTACGACCACGGCGAACTCTCGAAAATGTTTGGCTCTTGATTTTCTCAACATCTGTTGGATATAAAGGTGGAGTTAATTGAGGATTAATAAAAGAGTAGCGCTGATGATGATATTGTAGGTTTCCTTCTGTAATTTCCTCTTTAACTTTTCTTCCAATGTGTCTTTGAAGATCCAACTTTTCCATAAAATCATCCATAATTAGAGATGCAGAAGCAGCATACTCGTCGCTTGATCAGTCTGCTCATTTCCGAATAAACCGATATGACTAGGTACCCATAACATTTTAATTTTTCCGCCGGGTGTTGTAATAATATTCCTTATTTTGTCGATGGTGCTCCATGTCGAAGTCGAAAGATTCCGTATAGCTTGTAATACAGACAAACCGTCAGTAACAATAACGGTTTTGAGTTTGTCTTTATAGGAAAGGTTCGCAGGGTGAAGGATAGCTCTGGCTTCGGTTCTGAAAGCTGAAGAACTTTCGTGAAATATATAATTGCTAAGAACATGTCCTGAAGCATCTATTACGGCACAAGAAGGTGGCAGACCAGAAGACTTTGAGTCTCTCCAGTACTTGGGTTTTTCAGCTATTAGATTCCAGAACACGTAACGAAGTACGGCGAATAAATTGTATAATTCGTGCTTAAAAAACGATTGCGAAGGTAGGTTATAGAGCGAAAGCACTGCAAATTTTATGTTTAAGATTATTTGTATCTCTACGGGTTGTATGTATGAGCTAAAATTTATCCGTTTGTGAGGTATTCTTGATTTAATCAAAACACCAACTCCTTGTTTGGAATATGAATTTTGATCAGCATTCGCGAAGTATCCAGTATATGATTTGGGTGGAATAGGATTAAAAGAGCACAATGGGTCTCTTGAAGCGATATAAAGGTTGGATTAAAATCACTTATGAGTGTACGGAGTTCACCAGAATTATTAATAAGTTCCTTAATGTTCCATTTTAGAATTTTAAAAACTTTATTTAATTGTAGTGACAAGGGAACCGAGTGGTAGGTGGGCTAAGTTGACATGCCAGCATCTCCGTCGAAAAGGTCTCTATAGAAACTTTGCGAGAATAATTTGTTTTTACCAGCAGAATAATCTGTATTTAGGTGGTTGCGTACATTCGAAGTCCAACGAGTGGGCACACGTGAACAATTTGAAATTGAAAGTTGATTGAGGGATGAAAGATTGGATTCATTACGGATTGTAATTTGTTGAGTACAGTTGAGAACTGTTGATTCTGGGGGATTTGTGTTGGCATATGTGTTGTTGTTTTAATTTTTTCAATATTTGCTGTTGTTTTGATTTTTTCATTATTATCTTTGGCGGTTGGTGGAACTGGTTTCGCCATATAATTTTTGGTTAATGGTGGAACACGTTTTTCATTAGAAGAAGTTGGAGTTAAAAGCTTATTAGGCTCGATTTGCGAGGTGACAGCAGCGTAGGATTTACCTGTGTTAATGCTTTGGGTTCCAGTTGGATTTATTTCTCGGTACTTGCGTCGCGCTTCGACCGTGCTACAATAATTTTCTGTTTTGATTTTTACAACTTCACGCATTTGCATACAACGTGGGCATTGTTTGTTTAACATTGCGATTTAAGCAGGAACTACGTGTACAGCTTTCAGCATGTGGAGGAAGACCACAGTTAGCACAAGATGGGGCACTCGTGCCCCTTTTTGCCGTATGACCCAGGCGTTGGCAGTTTTTGCGTCTCATGGAATTTGAGCTGCAGAGTTTCAATTTACATTTATACCAAGCCACATCAACTGTTTGCGGTAACCGATAGCGATCAATGGTCATAATAATCCATCCTCTAAGAGAGCAACTTTTTTTCATTTAATTTAGTCAATTTATAGATTTCAGTCACTCCTTGATTTCCCATTTCGCGAACTATTTCATCTTCCGGTACATGCTTTAAGCACGGGGGATAAATTACGCCTCTAACTGAGTTCACTTTGTTATCTAATTTAGCGGAAATAGCACTAGTTTAATAATGCCAGCCTGCAGCTATATTTTAATTCTGTGATCTAAAAGGATTATTTTAATGTTTCCATAAGCAATATTTCGTAAATGTATTTAATATGGTTGAGGAAACCTGCTTTCACGTGCGTTACGTATATGTTACCGTTATGGAGGAAGAATTGCAAACTCTAATCCAAACTATAACCTGATTAAGAACGTTGTCAATGGATTGATAAATAAAGAGCAAGAAAACTTTCATATGTTATGTTACACCAAAGCAATTGTTGTTGCTGTGTTTTGTTTTGTGAGATGGGGAAGTATTTTTATATTTTTAAAATAATCCTCTTTTGTTCTGCATATATACTTTCGCTTTTGTTATATGACTGTTGCTGGAATTGCTTTTATTTTGACGGTGCATTTATATTTAAGCTTCTAATAAGATTCTTATTATATTTTTTACATCCAATATTAGAAAAAATTTTTCGACGCGATATAATGAAAAAACTATTTCGACATGTGCTGGGAATAGAATTTTCTCGAAGTAAATTTCTTATCAAACAGATATTATAGACACTAGGGAATGAAATAGGCGTTCTTAGTTTATATCTAGAGAATATTTTTATAATAAGAATTTTTATAATAAGAAATGGCAAAGTTTTTATATCCTCTCACAGCTTTAAAAACTTTGAAGAAGAAAGATAACTACCTACAACCGTAAGATAAGTGACAAACTATAACATAAGTGTTATATAAGTACATATATAAATATATATATATACTGTATTACTATATTGTATCACAAAGTAGCCTAATTTATTACGACATTCTCAAAACGGCATCCCTCCATATCTATTATTGTACATTTTATAGGTCGACTGAAGTATAGCCTTCAATTTTATTTTATGTATTGTATATCCAGTCTTTTCAGAGAGCCTTTGTCAAAGTTAAAAATTCGTCTTCAGAAACGAAGAAAAAGCTCAGATGAATCAGATGCATCATAACAAAACAATGCTTAGCAAAATCGATCGGATTATGACATGGGTATTTGAGACTTTTCAGAACGTAAGAGTTATATCTGTTTTACTATTAGTTAACATACGAAATGTGTTTTCCCTAAAGTTTGGGCAATAATTTCAAGGATTCGGTACACGAATTACTGCACGAAACGCAAATTACGAAGCGAATGCATCCACATTATTTTTACATTGCAAGGTTGTTGGTTGACATAATAAGAATTCGTGGTTAACAAAAGGAGTAGTTTTATTATTGTGACATATTTATTGTTTTCTTATTTCCAACGGTTGCTCACTACAGTACATTACCGCAAGCCTATCGAAATCTTTCATAACAGAAGCAAGTATCACAACTATTATAGTCCATTAACAGAGTTCCTCGAGAATACCACGGTATATAAGAGACCAATTTATGAAAGGGTTCTTAAGATTTTACACTGTCATACTTCTGAAATGGAGGAAGTGGACATGAATATTTCTTATTGGTAGCTTTCAGGAAGATTTAGCAAGCACCTAATTACCACATCAATACTT